GTTGACCAATTTAAGATTCTATCTGGATTTTATCATCGCCAGCGATGACATCATCCAGCCAGAACTAAATTGGAGGACCGTACTAGTCTCGGGTGCTTTCGAAAAGCCGCCTGTGCATTGCCTCTGTGAAGTTAGTGTTGTTGTACGACACCCAGACCGTTGTTCCAACCAGTGAGCGAGAACGACGGTTGAACTGCGTGCAGCAGCGTTAGCTTTGCCGAAAAACAATGCGAAGATTAAGGAAAGGAGGTTGGCTCTGTTAGACCAATTTTTTAAATAATTTACTCCAACTCGAGTAGGAGCCAAAATACGGCAGGCGTCCACCAGGAAGTCAGCATGCAACAAAGCTGAAAAAACAAGGTATTATCTGACCTACTTTCAAAGAGGAATATTTCCTGCCACGATGCAGTAATCAGTGCGTTAGAGCAAAAGCGTTGTAAAGTTTCAGATAAAGGCTACATCACAAACCAGAGACTATCCGTTTATGCAAATGGTTCAAAGTAATGATCTCAGCAAACAAACGACAATAGAACTGTCTTATGGTTAGTTACAACTTTCCATTTATGAGGTCGATTTCACCCTTGGCAAGTTAAATTACGATTTATGATGTTGACAGGCGATAACAATTACAGTTATAATTAATACACCAAAGTAGAAAAAATTACAAGTGGTAAATAAGCAGGATTAAGGAAATGTGTAAAAGAAATGAAGTTAAACTATACAGACAAATGCTCGGCTCAGCAAGATATCGAGCTCATTTAGGCGCTTGTTCACGGCATTGATTGAAATGACCATACAGACATGTAGCTCTTCAACTCTACCGAAACACCGGTTCACTTCCGCTGTAAGTAGTTGACACAGTGCTTTACATATGTGTTCAACGTACTAAGTATGATGTTAAATTCAGACATAATAACCGTAAAGAATAGACGTTGTCTCCGTGCACCAGAGTCCTTGTATATTTTCCTGGCCAAGAAATACGTGCACTGACCAAATGAATTTAGTTAACATTTCTTTAATCCAAACTTGTCGATGTCAATATCAATGGATAATAACTTTCTTACATTAACTTCTTATATTATTATATCTCAGACGAAAACTAAACCATTAAGTCATTATATCTCGTCTGTGCTCATATATAAATCAGATTTTTGAATTCCATAATCCACTTGGACTTATCTCATACAAGAAGATGAACTTCTGAATTAACTGTCACAAATCTAATTCTGTTTATCAAACCAACTGCAAAAACTATAAAAAGATTCATATCCTTTAAACATACACGTGTAACTCTTAGAGGACGAATAAAGGAAATTCGAAATGCCAGTAAGAGAAACGACGTGAATCATTCTCAGATTGTAGCGCATTTCTTAGAACAGCAACGTAATTATAATAGTATTTAAGTTAATACGTTCACTGACTGAGACCTATGACGGGCTTAGACATCTACTTACAGTCAGCCTTCACATTTCTGCAACTGAGAAGGATGTGCAGCAAGCAACTGCACCAATTCAGCTGATACCCGTTATGTTTTAAATTCCAGTTTTTTAAATTCTACTCATCACTTCTTTAGTATTTTAAAACCCTGTCCCGTATAAACCTGCTCGCCCAACCTTTCTTCAACTTTTTATTCGATTTCTGCTGCAGGTTGAAAAATTTCACGAATTTACTATTCGCTGTTGAAAATTTTCTGTACTTTGTTGTCTCAATTTTAGATTTTTATTATTGCATATGATCAAGAATCCCGATGATGGTGCAGGTAATCGAAAGACTGCGTCACGCTCATAGCCATCGTACTGTGAAAAAATGAATAATTGAAAATTTTCATTGGTTGTACTGAAAATGCATTGTGAAACAGATACAGGTAACAGCTGGCTCGTTTCTTAACATACCTGGTCAAGAAGGTCCGCCTTGGCGACACGACGCATAATGCGGCCGGTCACATCAAGCAACGGCGCGGTGCAGCCGCACATATACGGTTCGTACAGTAATTTGTGCCAGAAACGTTGGTGATTAAGCAACGGAACACGAAGGAACGCGAACAACGGATACAGGTCAACGACCGCCTTTTGCATCGGTGTGCCGGTGATGCACCAGAAGTATGAGGCGCTCAGCGCCTGGCACATTGCTGCCACACGACACGAAGCGTTACCCAGCATCTGAGCTTCATCGACGCAAATGCGCCACCAGTACAGCGTGGTCAACGGTGTCGGTGTCGACGTGAAACGCTTCCTCTTGCGAAGCCCTTAAAAACATACCATCATACTCCAGCTGATTATTCTATCGAAAGTCGGAAGTGTGTCCAGTCGTGGTCACACTTACGATAATGACATCTTTCGGAATGCCATGAACTGACCGGTGAACCATAAAAAATTTGCTTGTGTATATTCTAAACGATACCGGAAACTGATCCTGATTCAGGGCCAACAACTGAATAAACTGATCGCGTTTCTTGATGCTTGGCTTTAGACGCAACATGGCGTTCTTCCACCTGATGAGGTTTCTTTTGTGTTAGAAATCTTCCTTTTCAAAAACGCTATCCGCTTCACCGATATAAAGTA